TTATACCCAGACGGAGATCTTGACTTGTTAAATGTATCTAGACTGATAAAATCCTCATGAGATTTATAAAACGAATTTGGGAATTGTATATAGCTGAATTTTTGTGGGAAAGGCTTTACTACATTCAGAAGTTCTTGAGCATCTTGGTATTTTTGTCTTCTCCTTATGCTTTCCTGAGCTGCTTCACTGTTCACCAGTCCCATGAGCGTCTTCTCCTTTCCCCCTTTCCTCTGTGTTGTACAGGACTCACCACTTCTTTCACTGTGGACTTTTTTTCCTATTAACCTATTTTGCATCTGATTGACTTGCTTTGTTGCAGCCTTTCGTGAATCAACTCTTTGATTGTTTGGAGTATGCACATTTACACCCTCTTCTTTCGTGGAAAATTCCAATGGTCCTAAAGGAATGCCACTCGGGTTCAAAATTTTCTTGAGCTCTTGATAATTTGGCTTTTCGTCATATGCTAAACTATAAGCACATTCCAAGAACTGGGCTATTTCATAGCAACTGCTTCCAGAAGGAGCCCAATTAAGCACTGACTCAGGGAGCTCATCCAACAGATTTGTTTTAGCAGTCTGCACAGCCTTGGGGTCCTTCAGGTTCTTTTCCCAGGGAAGTTTCCCACACAGCCACCGCAGCATGCAGTAGCCAAGGATTTCAACGTCACTTCGTCTGGACAGGGCTACTCCCTTATGGGCATCCAAGCTAGTAAACTCTATTGTCCCATTATGGCCTTTTCTAGGATTTTCCTGATACTGTTTGTGGTTCCCAATGGGACAATATCTGTAGGAAAGTCCATAATCTGCGAGATAAACCCGATCTGGATTTTTGTAACCCAAAAGTAGATTTGCTGCTTTTATATCACCGTGAACATATTCATTTTCATGTATATATTCCAGTACATCCAACATTCGGATACCTAGCTGCAGGACAGTGGATTTTTTTAAAGTACCATTCTGGTCTGAGATCCTCTGTAAATCGATTCCTAGTCTTTCCATTACCATAAATCTGTAACTCCTTCCCTTGAATTCGGTCAGACCAGATCCATAAAACATAGGAATTCCTAAATAATCAAGTTGTTTGAGCTCTATCCACTTTTTGATACATTCTTTTTTTGCAGCCCTCTGATAAAATTTAAGTTCAGAAAATAATGGACCATTTTCCTGATACTCCACTTTTATTACATGTTGTGCCTCTCTCTCTGGTTTATTTGTGGGGAAAGCTATGGAGTCCTGACTCTGGGGCATCTCCTGGAAGGAGGGGGAGAGGGAAGGGGCTGGTGTTGTTCTGTGCCGACTGTGGTGCCCGCGTGAGGAGAGGGGGGTCAGCTTGGGGGACACCAGTGCAGAAGCCCCCGGTACGCCATCCTGAACGGCAGCTGCAGGCGGGGCGCCCTTGACTCGCCTGGGTGGAGCCCCTGCCCTCAATCAGTGTGTTTTGATGCATTTTTTGATCTCACTGTTGTCTCTGTAGCTTCATTAATGCACAAAGAACGGGATGAATAGAGTTTTATAAATCACTCTGAGTGCTTGATCCTTTGGGTAATTTCCTAGAGAAACTTAACATTGTCTGTGTGGAAAGGCGGAGTCTTACTGAAGTAAATCCCCTGTAATCTGGCCAGGGTAGCTGAGCTTGGTTTTTTTTAATTTACCATAATGCCTCTGATGGTGGATCTCTCCTTCAAATAAGAGAAAGAATAAAGTTTCTTTATAGGTGGTTGATCTAAGTGAGACAAAGTCCAGAGGAGTTTGGTCCATTTGAATGTGTTATACTGTTCTGCCTATGGTCATGATGTGGGTGCTGCTATTCTAGGCTCACATCAAGCTGGTTCCTTTGACAGAGACTTGCACACTGGGACTCAAAGAAGGATTCACATGAACACACAAAAAAGGCATGTAGGCCCAGTGGGCTGACATCTCACTGGTCCTGCCATGTGGAGTGGATTCTCCTCACCAGCAGACATTCCTCTGTCTCCGTCCTGCTACCTCAGTGGGCTAAGCCTGCTGCCCATATTCTAACAACTTCTAACTGCAGACTAGGGTTGCTCATGGACATTGGTTCACAATGTGGATAACGATACATTGTAGTAAGAAATGAAAAGAGCCCCATTCATCCAGCCAGAGCTGGGCTGTTTCTCTAATCCTCTGGTGGTGAAGTAAAGGATTAGAGTTAGCAAGGAGGTATCTAGAAGACTCAGGTCTCTAAAATGTCCTGGTTCTCTTTCTTTTAAAGAGAAAGTAAAACACAAATTTGTGAAATGAGTTTCTTCTCCAAGGTTACATATTAATTGTTGAGTGATTCCCACCCTAAGAAAGTTCTGCCTATATCACCTTTTTCTTGGAAACAATGGGTTTGCATTTTTATTAACCCTAGGTTTTTTTTTTTTTTTTTTTTGGTTTTGTTTTTGAGACAAGAGGCTTACTCTGTCACCCTGGGTAGAGTGCCATGGTGTCATAGCTCTCAGCAGCCTCATTCTCTTGGGCTCAAGCGATCCTCTTGCCTCAGCCTCCCAAGTAGCTGGGACTACAGTTGTCCACCATAATGCTCAGCTAGTTTTTCTATTTTTAGTAGAGACAAGGTCTTGCTCAGGCTAGTCTCTAACTCCTGAGCTCAAGCAATCCACCTGCTTGGCCTCCCAGAATGCTAGGATTACAGGGGTGAACCGCTGCGCCCAGCCTACTTATCCTAGTCTCAAGCTATCCCCCTGGGTAGAGTGCTGTGACATCACAGCTCACAGCAACCTCCAAATCCTGGGCTCAAGCGAGTCTCCTGCCTCAGCCTCCCAAGTAGCTGGGACCACAGGTGTCCGCCATAACGCCCGGCTATTTTTTGGTTGCAGCTGTCATTGTTGTTTTGGCGGGCCCGGGCTGGATTCAAACCCGCCATATGTGGCTAGCGCCTTAGCCACTTGAGCCACAGACGCCGAGCCAGGAACAATTTTTAATAACTTTTTTTTTTTATCTAATCTTAATGTTTCCTAAATGTGAGCTAGACTGATCAGGTAGTAGTTGTGGTGCCGAGTGTCCCATAGTTTTTTATTAAAGAAGTAAAAGAAAAAAAATTTTAAACAATAAAAAATAAAGTGCCTCTTGTGTTTCTTCTTTGTTTTCACATTTTAGTTTGAATGACAAGGTATCCTTGAGCATTTCTAGGGAGGAATCAACCCCTTGGGAATGCCTTAACATTTTTGGCCCCAGAATTTCCACAGCATCAACCCCAAACTTTATTATTCTTTTTTCTTTCTTTGTCTGACGCAGCCTCCGTGAATGTGCTGGTACAGAACTGCAAGATCTACAATGACGCCAGCTGTGACATTTCTGCAGATGGCCAGCTGCTGGCAGCTTTCATCCCTAGCAGCCAGAGGGGTTTTCCTGATGAGGGCATCCTGGCAGTGTACTCCCTGGCCCCCCATAACCTGGGTGAAATGCTCTACACGAAGCGATTTGGTAAGGGATAGGAAGCCCAACCTAATGACAGAGGGACGCTGGTGCCTTGGCATGGGCATTCCTAGGTGAGGCACTGCTTGGGTGGGAGTAATGGTCATGTATTGCCCTTGCCTTCACTGGGCACAGGCCAGAGAAAGATTGCTTTGCAGGAGTCCTGGCTACTAGTATTGCAAAAGAATCTCAGAAATAGAGTCTCCCCTGCCACAGTGGCATCACCAGCATGTTCCTGTTATGATGACCAGAAATAAGAGAAGAACTTTTGGTCGTGGCTTAGGGAATTAGACCCTCATATACCCTGCAAAGCAGTTTGGCATTCTGTTTTTAAAAACCTCAGAAATGTGTGTGCTTGGACGGTGCCCGTAGCTCAGTGGGTAAGGTGCAAGCCACATAGACCAAGTCTGGTGGATTCGAACCCAGCCCAGGCTAGCTAGAGCGACAATAAGAACTGCAACAAAAAAAGAAAAGAAAGAAAGAAATGTGTGTACTCTTTAATCCAGCAACCCTACTTCTATGGGAAAAAACCCAGAAAACTAAACAAAGATTACCATATGAGCATGTTCACAACAGTGTTATTTATCGTATAGAAAAATGTTGACTTGTTGCTTTAAGAGTTCTTTTAAAAGAGTTTCTTAAATGATGCTGCAGTGATAGAATACAATTGGCCTTTAACATGCTTTTATAGAAGCATATTTAATGATGGGAAAAGATTCATAATATGTTAAGAGAAAAAAGTAAATTTCAAGATATTTACAGCAGGTACTAATTTACATTATACTCCTCATGATAATCCTATGAGATAATCCTAGGATGAACACATTAATATGAAGATTTGAGGAAAACAGAAAAGGCTAAAAATGAAAGTTGCTTCTTTGGAATGACAAGAACGCTAGAAATGTCTCTGTTCTGTTGGCCTTCAGGTCCCAATGCCATTTCGGTGAGCCTGTCCCCAATGGGCCGATATGTAATGGTGGGCTTGGCCTCACGAAGGATCCTGCTGCACCCCTCCACAGAGCACATGGTGGCCCAAGTCTTCAGACTGCAACAGGCCCATGGTGGTGAGACCTCTATGAGGGTGAGTGCCATTGCTTGCTCCTCCACTGTATGGCAATTCTCCTAGGCGTGGGGGTGTCATGAAAGACAGTGGTGTGGCCTCCCAGCCAGTATTAAGAAGTAAGGTACAGAAGTAAGGAAGGACTCCAATCCAGCCCTTTCATGACCAGCAGGCTTCACTTTTAGAAGTCTGGACATTTTGGGGTTTTGTTTTTTTGGGGTTTTTTTTTTTTTTTTGAGACAGGGTCTCACCATGTCACCCTAAGTAGAGTGCTGTGGCATCACGGCTCACAGCAACCTCAAACTCTTGGGCTTAAGCTATTCTCTTGCCTCAGCTGGGACTACAGGAGTCCGCCACAATGCCCGACAATTTTTTGTTGTTGTGGTAGTTGTCATTGACTGGCCCGGGCCCAGTTCGAACCTGCCAGTCTCAGTGTATGTGGCTGGCACCCTAGCTGCTGCGCTGTAGGCGCTGAGCCAGAAGTCTGGACTTTTTATTTGTTTTTTCTATTTTTGCAGTTTTTGGCCAGGGCTGGGTTTGAACCTGCCTCCTCTGGCATATAGGGCCAGCACCCTACTCCTTTGAGCCACAGGTGCTGCCCAAAGTCTGGACTTTTTAAAAGGCAGGCACTTTCTCACTCCCTAGATTATGTACTAGGTTCCCCAGAGGCATGAAAATATCTTTAGTTAAAGAATAAACTGAGGTTAAGCATGATGGCTCACACCTGTAATCCTAGCTCTCTGGGAACCCAAAGCAGGGGAATCACTTGAACTCAGGAGTTTGAGACCAGCCTGAGCAATGAGAGACTTTGTCTCTACTAAAAATAGAAAAATTAGCTAGATATCATGGTGGGTGCTTGTAGTCCCAGTTGCCCGGGAGGTTGAAGCAGGACAATTTGCTTAAACCCAGGAGCTGAAGGTTACTGTGAGCTAGGCTGAGAGCATGGCACTCTCAAGGGGAAGAAAAAACAATAAACTGAGTATTTCATTACTTCAACATGGTACTTTTAGTCTAGAGATTCATAAAGAACCCACTGAAAAATTTATGCTTTTTTATTTCTTTTGAGAAAACAAGCTCCAAAAATGATAGTATCCCATCTCCTTTTCTGTGGGTTATAATCACGATAAAGATGAAGATTTGAGGCAGTTGAGGCAGTTGCTGTGCTTTTACTCCTCCTATCCATTTCAACAGCAAAGGAAAGGTCCTGTTTGTAACCCTCTCGTCTGAGGTGTGCTAATCTTGTATTGCCATAAAAGCCTTCTGGGCTTCATGTGGTTAGTGACCTCTTGGGCTCAGCCAGACAAATGTGCCTGACTGAGCTTCCCATGTCCTATGCAGTTTGGCCAGAGTTTTGTCCTGGGAGCCCAGTTTTTGAATAGTTCTCTAATTAGTGTTTAAGTTCTGTCTTGAGCTGAGGAACTATGAATTCCCTTAGTATTCTATGCAGTATGTGCCATTTATAGTTTGATGCACTTGTTGATATGCTTTCTGTTTTCTTTATCTGTGTGGTGTATATGTTTAATACACCCAATTAGGTTAAGTGTAAGCTCCTTAAAGACATATGCCCGGCTCGGCGCCTATAGCTCAACCGGCTAAGGCGCCAGCCACGTACACCTAAGGTGGCGGGTTCGAATCCCCAGCCCGGACC